TATTGTAGAGATGAGGTCTCACCACGTTGCCCAGGCGGGTCTCGAACCCGCGGGCTCAGGTAATTCACTCACCTTGGCCTCCCAAAGTGCAGGATTACAGGCTGAGCCACCGAGCCCGGCCTGGAAGTGATTTCATAGTGGTTGCCACGATTGCAGTGACGTGGCTCTCCCCTTACCTCCCTTCTAGCTACCCCCCCTCCCGTGGGGAAACAAATGTTGAGAAGCAGAATGGTTGTAATCATATGTACAGACTAAACTTTTTACCACTTTGTACTTGCTTCTCCAACTCATAACACTTCAGTCTCTTCAGGTTGTAGCCCAGGAACCAGCCTACTCTTACTTTCTGGTCTAAGTTTTGATCTTCATCCTACCCTGTTCTTTGGGTAAACTTTGGGCCTTGATGCATCCCTGCTTCCATGGGTTGTGCCGATTTCTGGATGGGGGTTTTAGTTTTCCTTGGAACCTCAGAGCTATACAATCCCAAACTCTTTCTCTACAGTGAGGTGGACTATGGAGTACTATAATAAAAGACCAAAGTATTTGCTTTCGGTAGCTATTCTAGTTAATGATCCTAGTTCCTTGGGCAACCCAAATCAGTGTATGGTAGCCAGTGCACCATGAGCTAAAAGAAGTATATTCTGCTATATTCTGAATTATAGCAGAAAACATATAGGCCTTAGGAGCAGTCACTCTCAGTTAAATAATTCTGTTACTGGGATTCTATGTCTGTTTTGTGCTGAGGCCTTTACTTCACTGTAGAAAAGGATTTCAGAATGGATGGAAAGTAATAAGGCAGTTAGTGAGTTTATTAAAAATGAAAACAGCAAAATAGTATACACTTCAAGGTGAAGTGTGGGTGAACACAAGGAAGTGTTGTATGTGGGTCTTTGGCTTGTGTTTTTTCTGAACTACAATAAGTGAAGGAGTCAAATCGTCTTATTAAAGTGATACAAAAACCCACTAATGTCTCTCCATATTACAACAGCCCCTAGAGAGGGGCATGGCGGGGATTCAAGCACTCCTGTACTTTCCTGAGCCCATTATTGAGAGACCCCCATGTCTTCTATACACTCCCAGTAAGTAGCTTCACGGGATACTTGACTTTCCAGCAGACTATAGCTAAAGATGTAAATCCTTATTTACTCCCTTTCATTGAACTATACAGTATGTGATTTGCATGACTTTTGCAATGCATGATGTCTTAGGCTTTGTAAACTTTTCTTTACTCTAAATGTCACTATCTAAATGTAAAATGCAGCTGTAACTTAAGTTCTATACAATGTTTTGCTGGTCATGTGGCTAATGTATAGGTACCTACAACTAGGGACTATAAAAGTAAACTGTAAAAGCCTGGAGGGTGAGCAGAACCATTTTAGAAAGACCTCAAGTCTGGCTCTGCTCCCTGGACTCGAACTCAGAAATAAACTTCTTTTTACCAGTTCCCTGCCCCTTTGATTTATTGTATCAAGGTGAGCAGCTGAGTGTTACTCGGACCATAACAAAAGGGGTGGATTTTTTTTTTTTTTTTTGAGTTGGAGTCTTACTCTGTCGCCCAGGCTGGAGGGCAATGGCATGCTCCTGGTCACTGCAGCCTCGACCTGCCGGGCTCAGGTGATCCTTCCTCAGCCTTCCAAGTAGCTGGAACTACAGGCATGCGCCATCAAACCCAGCTAGTTTTTTGATTTATTGTAGAGATGAGGTCCCGCCAAGTTGCCCAGGCTGGTGTCGAACCTGTGGACTCAGGCAATCCTCTCACCTCAGCCTCCCAAAGTGCTGGGATTATAGGCGTGAGCCACCGCGCCCAGGCTTTTCCGTTCTTTTAAAAATAAACTTACTTTCATTTTACTTTGTCAGCTTGCTCTTGAATTCTTTGCTGTATGGAGCCAAGAAACCCACCAGGCTTCTAGGGTTGGATCCCATCTTTGGGGTCCCCTGTCTGTATCATTGGCAAACGTGGTCACTGTGTAGCCAGATGACGTTTAAGCAGTTGCAAAAGTGTGCCTAGGGCCTGTAACATTACAAGGAGATGAAGAGCGCTTACAGCCAATACTGGGTTTATCGCCTTGTTTGGGAATTTCTTTCCCCGTTCAAGAGTTTGGTGGCCGGCCGCGGTGACGGTGGCCGGCCGCGGTGACTCACGCCTATAATTCCAGCACTTTGGGAGGCTGGGTGAAGGGAGGGCCTGAACCTCTGGTTCGAGACCAGCCTGAGCAACTTGGCAAGACCTCCTCTCTACAATAAATCAGTAAATTAGCTGGGCGTGGTGGCGTGAGCCTGTAGTTCCAGCTACTTGGAAGGCTGAGGTGGAAGGATCGCTGGAGCCCAGCAGGTCGAGGCTGCGGTGGCCG